TCTCTTTAGGAATGGAGAAAGAGGTGTACTTCTCACCTTGTGTGGTAATCATGTGCAAATGTGGTCTGTTTGCCTGTGATGCCTTTTCAGATAGCTTTCGTTCAAAAAGTAGTGTAGGAGACTTTAGCGCCCTTGGAATAATAAAAAAGAAGTGTTGCTGTTGTAGTAATTTGCCCGGCACTGGGCTGCTTACTCTGCTGTACGGTGTACTCCTCTGAATCCCGGTGTTTCCCTATTGAATGTGGCTCAGGTTAAAGTAGTTTTAAAAATAAAGAGTTCCCACCCCTGTGTGTTGGGGGTGCAGGGAGTCCCCCTGCCTGCAGCTGCCCTGGGCAAGTGCCGCCAGGTCTGTCTGGCACAGGGACAGAGGCTTAACCTTGTCCCCATGCCCGCTGGCTGGGCCCCAGCGCGTGCCACGGTTGAGCCCAGCTCGGCCACGTGCTGAGCCCGGCGAGTGGAAGGACTTGGTAATGTGTGAAGGATTAGAAACACGGTGGGCCTTGATGCCGCTGAAGGTTAATAACTATCTGCTGTTTCTCTTTCAGTCAAGTGCTTCTGCTCCTGATGTAGATGACCCAGAGGCTTTCCCAGCTCTGTCCTAAACTGGATGTCATAAGCCAACCCTGCCCTCGTCGGGCCTTCCTCTCCGAGGCTTGCATGCTTAAGGATCCTAAACAACTAAGAAATTTAAAAAAAAAAAAAAAAGAGGAGACTGTCATTCATACCATTCACACCTAAAGACTGAATTTTATCTGTTTTGAAAATGAACTTCTCTCGCTACACAGAAGCAACAATATGGTAGTCAGTTTTGTATTTAGAAATGTAATGGTAGCAGGGATGTTTTCATAATTTTTTCAGAGATTATGCATTCTTCATGGATACTTTTTTGTATTGCTGCTTGAAAATATGCGTTTCCAAACTTGAAATATAGGTGTGAACAGTGTGTACCAGTTAAAAGCTTTCACTTCATTTGTGGTTTTTTAATTAATTCAGGATTTTAGACATTTTCCCCAAACTACAAACTGGGTTTTAATTATTGCACACTATTTCCATTTCCTTAATTCCCATTTAGCAGATATTTATCAGCCCGTGGTCTTTTGGAATATGTGAAATTTTAATTTGGCAGACTGTTAGTGCTGTGTGGAATACTAACTCCTGGAGTACTTTAGTTTTAACGCTTAATTTCAGACTTGGGAAAACAGTCATTTTTCATCTATGTTTGGTAGTTTGTTTACGCAAAATCTTTATACAAAGTTGATACCGGATACTTGAAAAAGATTCAAAGCACATTGGTTTATAGTTAAATACCTGTGTATTGATCCAGCAATGATGTGTGGACAATTGGTTTAAACATTTTTTTTTAAATTAATGTATTACATCTTTCACTCACCCTTTTTACCTTTATTCCCTCCTCCTCTCTTCAACAGAACAAGACGCTTTGTTGGCAAAAAAAAAAAGTAGTTTTTAAATTACCGATACTTCTTGTTTGAGAGGGTACCTTGTAGGGTGGAGTAACCTTCCCTGTCATTGGAGCTGGGAGGTGGGGGAAGGTGGTAGCTGTTGCTCCGGTAGTCCGGCTGGACTCCGGTTGGGACGTGGGATTCTGCAGCACGGTCTGACAGAAATACATCAGCACCTAATGTGTCCACAGCACCGCTCGGACAGCGGCAGGTCTTCTGAAGGAGCAGCCGCAGGCTGGGGCTGGCAGGGGGTAGCTTTGGCTCACCGCTGTCTCAGGCAAGGACGTTGCAATCTGTGCGCGATACAACGAAAAGATGCAAAACCAAACCCCAGTGCTTAACCTCTCCGTCAGCGTGGTGTTCTGGATTTGTGCGGTGTTTGAGATCTGCTTGCTAGCTGACAAACGAATGTTTTCCAGAGAGCGATTGTAAGGAACCCTTTCTGTCCCCGTAGCAATTCACCATGGGTAATTTCATCCCTATGAACAGGAACATTACCACTTCAGTACACAAAAGGAGTTGAGAGAATGACTAATAAAGAGGGTTTCTTAGGGTTTTTATCTGCAGCATTTGTTAGGAGACTAGAAACAGGTTTCTCGTTTTATTTAATGTTTTACACTTTGGACAGCTTATAACATATTTGTAGTTTCTTAACTAGGTAGATAGAAAACAAAAGGTAACGCCCTATTTTTTTAAAAGCTGTACAGGACAGGCAAAAAGTATTGGAGACCTTTGAATATGAAATATCAAACTCCTTAATTGTGGTCTTTAGCTGGCTTGCTTTATCCGAACTGTTTTCTACAGAAGTTTTTGTTGTAAACCACTGTTAATATCATTGGATTAGACTTTTTAGTGCACTCGCCTGTAGTTTAAAGTACCACGCTGTGAGAAGGAGGCAAGTTTTCAAACAGTGGATGGTAAAATCTCTGTTCGTTTCTCCTGACTCTAAGCAGACCTTACACAGCTGCTCCGTGTGGCAGCTGTTGCAGGTCCAGCGCTGAGTTGTTCCTCTTCCCTCTCCCTTTGTGGTGTTGCAGCATTAGGGATGCCTTGGATAATGCAGTTAAACAAATGCCTTGATATGCAGAAACACACTTACGGAATAGCTTTCTCTGTAACATAAACCTTCCTCCCCTTATCCAAAATGTATATTTGCTGTTTCGGTTGCTACTCCACTTTTTTTCCAGATGAGTTCTGGGCCAGCCAGTCAGTCATTTGGGGCCCCGCTAGCCCGGCTTGGTCAGAAGCTTTCCCTTCTCCCGCTTTAGAGCGTAGAGCAGTTTCCCAAATGGCTTATCACGTATGGTTTTCAAAACAGCTTGTACTTACAACTGGTCCGTCTGCTGTTCTGATTGATAGATGTAAATTTGCCTCTTTCAGTCCATTTGTGTCAAGAACTAAAACTGTGAACATAATATCTTTAATATTGGTGGGTGTTAACTGAAATAAAGGTTTATTTTCATGCTCTTTTAAAAAATGTCATAAAACACATGGAGATGAAACCATTTAGGCTAATAGTCTCATCTAGGTTCTGCCCCAAGAGGTCCAGTCTGCCTGTGGTGATGGTGCCTGGGCATTTACATTGCCAGGAACGGACTTTGCCTTGGGAAAATGTCTCCCAAGTAGCTTATTTATGATTAACAAGCTTGCACTTCAGTAATATTTTCTGTCCTCTTGCTTGCTACTTTTGCTGTCACGCCAAATCTGGAGGACTAGACCTTTTAAAATCTGAACAATTTGAAAAAGACAGTCAGCAGAAAAAGTTGGAGAGAAACAGAGAGAAGCACATGGTGCAGATTGGCTTTTGTATGTAACGATGGCAAGGTTTGAGCATGAAAGTTCATCTTACAGACTGAATGCCTGGGAGGAAACAAGACTGATTAATAAATGCAAGTGTTAGCTGTGTGGGAAAGGACGTAAATTCTTCTGAAACACCAGAAGTCAGTGTGAATATATGGTGCTTGCAGTTGGAGGAGCTGAGACCACTCTTAACTGTAATGACTCTTTGCCCATGGAGATCGGTTTGCATAGCCACACCTCTTGTTTTAATAAACGCAGGACATATGCCTAAAGCTGACACTTCAGCATTTGCTAACCTGCTTCTTTTCTAAAATCGTTACAAGGACCATGTTACCTCCATTTCATACTCCTCCTCTGGTCAGCCTTCGCCAGGTAACAGCCTCCCGGCCAGGCTTGGGGGGTGTTTGAGCCAGCGCCAAGTGCGGTGTTCGGCAAGTCCCCTGCTGCGCTGGCTGCTGTGCTAGAAAAGCCAAATGTCATATTCTTGGTGGGCCGTGTGTGTGTAACCTGACTGGGGAAAACGGTTCATTTATCTTTACTGGGAGATTTTCAGGTAGGAGTGAAAAAGTTTGGTCGTTGTGCTGATAACGATGCAGTTTGTCTTTTCAGGTTGGAGTAAGGTTTTTCTGGGAAGCCCCATGTGGGAATTTATCTAGGGACTTGAAGAGCAAGGAGAAAATGCGCTCGGGTGTACTGTTGTCCATACGTTAGAGGTCAATATGCAGAAGTAGATGAATGACAGTATAGTGCTTTTTTTGTCTTTTTTAAAAAAATACCTTTCTTTGCTAATTAGGTTATCCAGTTTGGCTGTATGTAGCTGACCTGAGGTACTGATATGTCTGTGGTCCCCAGCCAGAATCCTCTTGCCAGGGTGGTTGCCAGATTGGGTATGGAGAGCACAAAAAAATGTCCTGGATGTCTGACGCAAGCCAGAGTGCAGCGCTTGCCTTTGAGCGACACCAAGCCAGTCCTCGCAGAGGGAAGACGTCTCTGTACCAGGCTTGGAAACAGCTCCTAGACCCAAAAAGCAAAACTGCAGAGCTGATGCTGTGCTAAAGAAAATCTTGCGCACTTCTGTGCGGCTGGCCTCGTTCCTTGGAGGTGGGGAACTGCTTCGCTGCCTTCCCCGAGACCGGTCTGGGTGTGGTTTATTTGTCTGCCTTACACAGGTGAAATACTTGACAGCGATGAGAAAAGGCCGTGCAAGAGGAGGACACAACTCTCCCTAAGAAAATAGCTTTGGGTTTGTTCCTGGCCGCCGAGTGCTGTGGTGCTGCTCCTGCTTTGCTGGGCTGTGGCTGGAGCCTCCGGGCTGTCACTTCTCCGGCGCTGAAGCTTGCAGGAGGTTAATGCGCTTTGGCTGAAGTTGGAGGACGTGCGGAACAGGGCTGTTTCCCGTATTTCAGCAACGTTTACAACCTGAAAATAAAATAAATGAGGACTTGAGGTGTGCCACGTGGCTGTCGCCTGCGAGCTGGGGCTCAGCTCTGGGTGGTTGTACAGATCTGGCAGGGAGCGGCCAGCCCCTCGGTGTGCTGGGGTGGGCTGCAGGAGGGGAGGTGAGCTGGGCTGGCGCCGCTGCTTGCTTGTGGGCAGTTCGGCGTGAGCCCAGGCTGCTTCAGTTTGTGTCAGCTTGCTGCCCTGGGGAGTGAGCTTGCCTGTAGTGAGTGATAGGTGTGCTTGAGCTGTTTGATCCTCACTCGTGAGGTGTTGCTGCGAAGGTCATCATAACACCCAGAGGTGAGGGAGCTTTTTTCTATTTCTTTACTGAGCGTGGTGAAGGTAAATCAGATATGGGATTGGTTTTACTGGAGTCTTTTAGTTCAGGAATTTGAATTGGCAGATGCCCAGCTTGCCCAGTTGCGTTTGGGGTTTGTACTTGACAAACTGCAGGATTTCCCATGTCTTGGAGAAGACTTGATTCTGTCCTTTCTCCTAAGAAAGCACCAGGAAGTCTGTCCAGCTCGGTGAGATTGTGTGGCGCTTTAGGGCAGCGATGTGGAGCAGGAGGGAAGCGTGTCGGGACAAGATGGCCGTTGTGGCTTATGTGCTTTTTAGTGCAGCGGTGTGGACCACAGTTTGCTTATGTCGGGCTGCGATGAAGGTGCTAAAAGGGGCAGCTTGCTCTGCAGATCACTGGTGGGCTGCTGTCAAAAGCTGTTTTCCTGTGGAAGTGCGTCTTCCCCTGCTGTCCTGTCTGAGGACATCCGTGTCCATGCTGTGACCTGGAGCATGGAGGTCCTGGGCCAGTTCAGAGGTGGCAGTGAGGATGCAAACAAGTTGCAGGGTTGAAATGCTATCCCAAAATACAACTCAAAGCTAAATTTCTGGTAACTATGTGAGCAGAGCTCGCAAAGCCTCCTTGCATGTGGTTTTATTGGGAGTCTGAGAATTAAAAAAAAATCCTGCCAGCTTTGACACCTCTCTTGAAAGTGTGAGTGGGGCATTGTACATTGCTTGCATTGGGACCATGGCGAGGCAGACCGTGCTATGCCTTAATGAGTACGTGCACCTCTCTCGAGTGAGAGGCCGTGTCGTGTGCATTTACTGGCACACTGGGAATCGGGTTTTTTTAGTGTGCGATTTCCACTGTGAATGCAGTGAGCTTGTGCCGAGGGGTTGGGCAGTAAGGGTAAGTATTCTCGTCCGCCAGTGACTGCTGAGTTACCTGGCGGGAAGAATAAGCTTTGCCACAGCCACGATACAAGAAGGATACCTTGGCACGCCTGGGAGAGGTGGTGGGCAGTGTCCTGCTGCAGGTGAACCGACCGTGCTCCCTACGCCGGAGCAACGGCTGCCGTGGGCCGTGCGAGCGCTGCGGCGAGAGCGTGCATCTCGGAAGCGGTCAGTGTGCCTCAGAGGAGCCCCCGAGCGCACACCCTGCCATCGCCAGAGCTGTTCCCTGCAGAGTTGCTCCTCCTCCTCCTCACACCTGCAGCACCTTCCCCTCTGCTTTGGGAAAGCAGTTTCTTCTGTAGTGGCTGTCCGCAGTCTCAGCTCCTTGTCCCCAAGAAGCTGCTGTCAGGAGGGACAGCGCATGGTGTCGTGACCCTGGCTTTGCTGGCAGGCTCTGGGGACTGAACACGGCGAGGCAGCATGGCTGGGTTGGTTTTGGGGGGCTTGGGGGGGAGCTGGCAGCGAGTGGCGTGCTGGATCCCACTGTGCTCAGCCAAGCTGCTCTGCTTGCTCTGGGACACTTCTTCCTAGGCATATATGCGGCCATGTGCTAACAACAGCGAAGCCATTGCTGATGGGTTTATGTTGTTTTCAACGCCAGAAATGGAAGACTGGAAAGCAGAGGCTTGAGAAGAGCCAGGGTAGTTGCCATCAGTTGCGCTGACCGAAGGGAAATGCTCCAGCCATTGCAGGAAGTGCAGAGAGAAGTCGCTGAAAGCTGAGCACTGGGAGAGCTGGTGCCAGGGCTTCAAGTTCTAAAACGAACGTGCACACAACTATTTTTGTATGCTCCTGCCTATCGCAGAGGTGTTTTCACAGCTCGGGTGGAGCAAACTGGGTAATGCGAATAAGCCCGGCCTGGCTGGCACTGGCTGAGCGGGCAGCGTGTGCCCAGGTATTAAGTCAGGCTTGTCCTGCGGCGCCTTTGAACTTGGGAGCACAAGAGTGTGTGGGCCTCCTGTGGAGTGTTAAACAGCCACATCTGGAGTAAAAACAATGGGGGAGAAAGCCAGCAGAGATCACCCTAATGCAGCACTTTGGTTTTGCTTTTCACTTCAAGCGAAAGACGGTGGGGAAAGCTGTGGCCTTGAGGTCGCAGCCCTGCGGTGTGTGCCTGTTGCTGCTGGGGCAGGAGACCTTTGGGGGCTGCTGAGGGCCATTTCCTCCCCGAGTTGAGTAGTGGCTGCTTGTGGAGGTGCTCTGGGTTGGTGGTAGCACAGGAGGGTTTCATCACCAGCTGATGCCACTAGTGGATGGTGTGTATAGCCAGCTGCAGATAGAGAGCAGCTGCCTGATCCTGGGGAGGAGGAGGATGCTCCGGGTAAGTTCAGATCTGGACTATCTCACCTCTAGCAGCAGCACTTCAGCTTTTATTTTTAAAGACACTTTTATTCTGTGTACAGCTGCAGCATAGCACTTGAGCTTGACTGGAGGAAACAACAGGAAACAAATTTCAGGTTTCCAACACTTTATTTATATATATATGCACATACAGTAAACAAAGTCATTAAATGTGTAATGCATACTTTAAACCTGTAATTAGAATACTTCAATAAATTATTTAAATTCTCACCAGTCCATTTGACTTACTGCATATGTGCGCTGCCTGTTGCTTTATATCTTTTGATATTTCAGCGGATGTCCCTGTGCTGTGTTGCCAACCTGCTGTGCACAGCTGGAGGAGTGAGGGCTGCAGCTGCAGTCCTGCTGGGGCTGGGATGCTGAGCTCTGACCCTGGCATTACTCCATGCTCTTCCTGGGCAAGCAGCAGCCGAAATGATGGTTAGCATAGCTCTGATGCCTGGGCTGGACCAAGCCAGGCTAAGCTGCTCATCATCAGGCCATGGGACAGGGGCCTGAGGCAGCCCAGGCTGCATGAAGGCATCAGATTAATTAAACTCTCCAAAACCCAGGTCACTTCCTGGTCTTCTGCCTTTGATTCTACCTGAGCGTGCTGGGTGGACGAGGAGCTGCTGTACTGTGCAGTGAGGTGTGACTTGCAGTGCTGGGACGGTTAGTGAGTTGGGGGTTTTTCTGTCACTTAAAGGTGTCATATGCAAGTTACTGCACTGGCTGTACCGAGACACAGTAAAATACTTTTAAAGTGCAAAAAAATCAGGCCAGGCTTATCCCCTGACTGTCTACCTGGTGAAAGAGCTGCAGTTTATTCTTACTGTATCCAAAGTAAGAGTTCCTTCATAGGAGAGTACAGGTGTGAAAAAAGTTGTTGGGAAGACGGAGAGTGGGTTGCACTCGAGTTCAGAGTGGTCTTCAGTAGTGCCTGTCACCGGGGGTAGGCACACAGTGGCTTTGTTGGTGATGCGGTTGGTGATGTACTCGGAAACAGTCTGCGTGTGCTCTGTCACCTCCACCACCACCATCTTCTTGTAGAGGTCGGGAAGCTGCTGCTCATAAACCTCCCTGTCTGCTGGGCTGGGGAGAGCCTCGTACTCCGTCTCCTCCTGCCCCAAGCTGCTCTCTGGCAGCCAGTCACCATTTCCCCTGCTGTCAACTCTGCTGAAGAGGAGCTTGTCCCGGAGGGCCAGGGGGTCGGTCTGCACAAAGGATTCCTCTAAGTGTGTGGGTTCAGGCTCTTCAAAACTGCTGGCGCTGTGCAGGAACAGGCTGGAGGGGAAGCTCACCTCGAGCTGCGGAGTGATAATTAATTATGTGATCACTGTTCTGTGACCTCCCATCCCTGGAATGCAAGCATCCCTACATGTGGCAGCTGAAAATGAGATATCTCTGCCTTGTTTCTGGATTTAATTTGCCTGATGCATCCTATGGTCTTAACATGAGAACGGAGCTTATCCACTATTGGAGACTGCTGGATTTGCTGTGTTAAGAGATTACTGACTTGGATGGCTCCAATTGCTTTTTCTTCTGAAGGTGATGGGATTAGAAGGGGGGAAAAAAAAAAGTACAATTTACCTTCATAGACACGTAGTTCTTGGCCCACGTAGCATTAGCAGGGTCTGGAATGGCTTTGCTCTGCCACTGCGGCACAAGCGCAGAGAGGAGCAAGTGTAACCTGCAGATTGAGTAAGTGCAATTATTCAATTGTGCTGATAGCAGCAGCAATGCCCGTGCTGTTTGTGCGTGTAGTTACTGAAAAGCTGGGTGTAATCGTCAATCTGCCTTAGGAGGGTCCTGCGGAGACCCCAGGTAGGTGGAGAGCAGGTCAGCATTGGCCGTGCAGCGCGCGGGCAGAGGGCAAGGCTGGCTGGCATCCTCCTCCTGCCACATGTTTGATTGGTGTAACTAATGGCAGCCCTGCGGGCAAAGCCTGCTGGATTCCACCGTGAGCCCCAGTCCTGGAGAATCTGGCTGGGGACGTGTGCGTGTTGCTCTAAAGTTTTTAATCTTGGGGTTTAGCTTTGCTCCTAGGTTAATGGCCAAAGATTGTACCCCTTCAGTTTTGTTTCGGTGGAAGCAGACTTTGAGGTCTAGGTTAAAAATTCACAATATATACGAAATAAATATGTATTTTAAGCTCAAGGGGTGGTGGTGTCGTTTCTGTACTCTGAAACCTTTATTCAGAGCAATCCTTGCTGTTCCCCAGGGTGTCCCAAAAGGATATGACCATCCCTTCTAAGAACAATTCCATGTTTTATTGGAACATAACAGATGGATCCACTCACACTTTTCTTGCTGGAGGCATGGAGCAAACACAGGCTGAGAAGATGAAGAAGCTGCAGGTAAGCACAACAGTCATCCAGCCCCCAGCACCTGAAATACAGAACACCCATCATTCATCTTTATTAAAAAATGGTAGTTCAAGTTGGACTAGTGGTGGCCTGACTAGTGTTTGCGCTCCTAAAGCATATCGATATTTTTTGGGTTCAAAATCAAGGATCTGGATGGACTACTGGGGATAGCAGTACTTTGTAATGTAAAGATGTCTCTGGAGAAAAGACCTTACAATATTCCATGCATCTTTAATAAACTGTCGGGGGACTGATCTGTTTCTCAGTGAACACCTTGTCTCTACTGTGCTTGCACTGTCTGCTTAAAATGCAAGTAGTGCAAATCCAGCTTTTATACCCGAAAACCTTTTTCTTTTAACTTGCCTGGATTGCTTTAATTTCCTTTCCTGCTCACCTCCCTGCATCTCCCATGGGAGAAACCCGGCTCCAGAGGAGCCCTGCTCCGACGCTACCAAGATGAGCTTCCTAACGTACACGACTCGGGGGCTTAAAAGGGGTGTCGTGGCACATTGCTGGGGAGGAAACGCAGCAAAACAAACTTTCTGGCAACACTTAAGCACAAATTTTATCAACTCCCTTCTCAGGGTTTAAGGCTTCTTGGAGCTCAAGGCAACTTTGATCAAAACGATCGGTCTTTCAGGACAGAAACCCTGATTGCTGCTGTTAGCTGTGGTCAGAAGTCTTTGGGAGGTCTTGCTTTTGCATCCCCTGACAGGGACAGGGACCACACAAGATGGGTGCGTGTGCTACATGAGCCCAGGGATGCTGTGCTCCTCAAGAAGGCTCCGAGATGACAACTGGGTCCTCTGACATAGGTCCTCAGAGAAGCCACCAACACATGGGAGATGTGGAGGTCAGCAGGACTTTCTGCATGGATACCTGTGCCAGAGCTTGAAGCACACAGATATCTGCACCAGCTGCTCGAAGGGACCAAACCCTTCCTTCCCTCTCCACATCAAACCATCCCCCTGGCTGTCAACTACGGTTAAACCGTGCAGATAACATCCTGGCACAGAACTGGGAGCTTGAAGACAGAGAAAGAGATGCTACATCTTAAAACCAGCTAAAACTAGGAATGTTCAGTAATTAAAGAACAACCAGAGATCTTTGGTAATTAAAGAGGAGCAGGAAAAACGTTTCCAGACTGTGGAAAACAGGGGGCCAAGGGCTAGGATCTCTCCTGGCCCCCCACCCTGGCACAGACTCCTTACCTTCCAAGGAGAGGAGCTCGGTGTTGCCGCAGGGCCCCTCTCCAGCTGCTGTCGATGCTGTCATCCACAGGGTGTAGTGCTGGCCGGGCTGCAGGTTGGGGATGTACAACGAGCGCTGGGCAGTCACATTGGAAATGGCTGGAAGGAAAAAGGGGGAGAAGCAAATGAAGCACCTAGCGCACATTTTTACTGTGTTCAACTTGAATGAACTGGGTTTCCAGAGCTTGGAGCATGGAGAGGTATCTGTGACTTTAATTTCCTTTTCTGTGCTATTGAATCACTGGAAGGGCTGTAGAAGGTCTTAGGCTACAGGGGTGGCCTGTGCTGTTGTATAGGCTGGACATCCGGGATTGCATCTCCTGTCCTCTGACTACTGTTGTTTGGTAAGTTAATGTTTCAATCTAAAATGAGGTTTCTATGGTGGAACTGTGAAATGTCTATTAAAAACAGACATGCAGCTTCTGAATGAAGTTAAGAAAACCCCACATTTCTTGTGTGGAAGCCTGGGAGTTATGCAGAGGGAGTGAGAGAGGGCTTGGGTGGGAAGAGCACATAGGGATGGGAATGCAGTAGGTGCTGCCTGCCGAGCGTCTCACGTGCAGAGTATGTGTTTGTTGGATAGGACTTTGAGAAAGTCTGTTATTTTAGCCTGACAATAATTATAAGGGTTTGCATTGGTTATGATGTAAGAAAATAATAATAAAAAAAAAAGACAGGGAGAAAGCAGATCGTTCAACACTCAAACTTTGAATGATCTGACTCGAAGCTATGAGCCCTGTCTGTGTGGTCCTGTTGATGGGCAGCTGTAACTGGAAGATGCTGGTCTTTGCCAGATACCTACTGTAGACAGCTGGGTCTACCTGCCCATCCTTCTCCTGCAGGTATAGGCGGTATGCCGTGATGCAGCCCCTTTGCTGCTGGGCAGGGATTGCTTCCCACGAAACCAAAACGCCGTTTGCCCGGGGTGTTGTGTACATCTGGGGCCCAGCTGATGGTGCTGCAAAACATAAGGCTGTCTTTTCAAGCTGCATTTATGCTAGCTTAAAACTATCTGGGAGAGTATTACTGTGATTTACCTTTTGCTCTTGAGTATCCCCTAACAGATGCCGCTTGTCCAGCTCTGTCCTGATAGAGTGCAAACACACCGATCTGATAGCACGCATTATCTTTTATGTGCTCTGAATAAAGAAATCAAAAGTGGACAGTTACTAGGGGAAGCATTTACAGTCCTGGCTACAGTATTTACATCAGCTGCTTAAATCTGAGATGAATCTTCTCATTATTAATGCATCTTTCATAAAGAAGGAAGGAGAATCTTCTCTGTGATCTCCTGTTCGGCTTGGCAGAGCCCTCCTGTGCGTTAAGCAGGTGATGTCAGCACTCCCCAAGGGCGATATCCTTTATTTCCTCATGAAGCAACAGCTGCTGGCAGACCTATACCCTGTAAAGGAAACCCTGGACCACATGTTACGCTCCAGGTAAATAGCTATGACCCAGCTCATTGCTCTAAGATGAGTGGTATGGGGTCTGGCTATGCATAAGATCACTTAGGAGGCACGAGAATCTCACACCCTATTTCTTCCCCACAGCTTGACATGGGCATCCTCCCCCGGGCTGTTCCTGCGGGTTAGGGGAGGGTGACAAGAACTCATCTCACTTCCAAAGCGATGGTGATGGCGCAAATCCGCTGCTTTTTCCAGCTTGTTCAGAAGAGGGGATGCGAACACCCTGGAGGCACAGCACCAGGATGGAGAATAGGGAGGATTAAGGAGGGTGATACTTGCTGTCACCCCCATCATAACTTCACAGCTATCCGGTGTGCAGAGCACTGACATATAGCACTGGCTGGGATTAGTAACCAACAATTAGTAGGAAGCAAAGAGTCTTTTCTTAAGCCTTTCATCTCTTGTGCCTCTAGCTGGCTTGTTCAGTTTTGGAGGGTCTGGGTTTTTTTCAGAAACGTTTTACTTGTCAGATATAAATCTCAGCTGAGAGTGACTGCAGAACTGAGCCTGGAGCAGCTGAGGATTTTTATTTTCCCTCCTATATAGAAAGCTCTAAATGCCATCACTACTTATGCTGAATTAGCAAAAATTAGAATCTGACATGTTCCTTAAAAAGCTTTTGAAATAAAGTGGTACCTCAACCGTACCCTGCCTGGAGGTGGTAGTTACCTGCTATCGCTGCGGACAGGTTGGATGCTGGAAGCTTTACCCAGACAGGATGGGGCTCCAGGTGTGTGTTCCTCGCAGTGTCTGCCCACTCCACTACATACCCGCTGATGGCTGCAGGCGACCTGACGGGCGGTTTCCAGCTGACGAAGATGCTGCTATTTCCCATGGCTACGGCAGAGACCTTCTGAGGAGGGGGTAGATCTTGCAGGGGAGAAAGAGCAACCAAACAAAAAAGACACCATCATCACAAATCTGCCTTAACCTCAGGCAGACTCAATGAGTTTGATATCTGGTTTTTACTGTGTCTCATCCAGTTCTAGGCCGTGTGAAGTATAAAAACGAACTGCCATTGAAAGAAAAGGTCTTTATACAAGGGTGATCTCTATGCTGATAGGAATAGAGCCACATTCTTGTCTTGTGGTTGCCACAGTTTGGACATACACAGCACTGCTTGTTTGTACCATCCCCAAACCCCGTGAAGATGCTGTCACAGCTCATATTGACACCCTGCTCCCATGGCAGAGCCACAAACACGCATTGTCTCCACAAGAGCAAAGCTACTGCTTTCACAGCCAGGGCCAGGTTACTTTTCCCTGTGGGAGAAAATGTTGGGAAAGTCGTTGATTTTTTTTTTTTTTTTAAAAAATAATCTGTAGTATGGAACTATCAGGGAGTGCAGTGATAGGACGAGGCGTAATGGTTTCAAACTGAAAGAGGGGAGATTTAGATTATATATAAGGAAGAAATTCTTCACTGCAAGGGTAGTGAGGCACTGGCACAGATTGACCAGAGAAGCTGTGGCTGCCTCCTCCCTGGAAGTGTTGAAGGCCAGGTTGGATGGGGCTTGGAGCAACCTGGTCTAGTGGAAGGTGTCCCTGCCCGTGGCAGAGGGGCTTCACTAGATAATCTTTAAGGTCCCTTCCAACCCAAACCATTCAATGATTCTGTGAAAGCCAGCATCTTTTTCTGAACATGTTTTCTAACAAATACAATTGAACTGAGCCCACAAAGCAGTTCTTGTCTTGCTGCCTCCAAATAATCAGATACCAGTGAGATACCTGCACCAGTCCTATCTCTACTTAATGGAGGGCTCAGGTAATCAATGCAGCTAGTGAGCTGAGGAGCTGGCTATCTGCCCCTGAAGGAGCAGAGCATCCTGCAGGTGTCCGGTACAACGCTGGGAAAAGGTGAAATATTTAGCAATGGCTTTGTTGCTGTTTTACTGACGTTAGACCAGGACAGGTGCAAATAGAGAACTGCCTCTTTGAACAAACCTTTTGAGACCGCAAGGCTCTGTTGTGCCTGGTACCAGCACAGGAAATTCAGGGCTGGGTGAGTTCAGGGAATGCTTGTTAATTTTGCTGCATGGGTTCAACAGAGTGCTGTTTCACAGGAGATAAAACTTGTCTTATTTCTCCTTGCCATCACCTTCCCTTCAGTCCTGCTACTTCTCTCATGCAAGAACACCCCACCCCCCCCTTTTTTTTTTTTTTTTTAATGGTTGATTTTCTGCTGTGCCTGGATGGCTGATGGCTCATGCCTGAGTTGGCGGAAGGGGTTGAGGTGAAATTGCAGCAATATTAGTGCAGGGCAACTGCACGTGTCCTGAAACTGCACTTCCGACCACATTGCAAACCAGACCTGCAGATCCCTGGCAATTCGTTGAGATGGACCTTGACAAGCACAAGGTGGTGGGACCTGAACACTTCCATGGCATTTAGCCCAAACCAAGCACTAGTGTTATTCCCAGTGGTCCAGACCCAGCAGAAGCCCTTACCCTGCATGCCCAGGCTGGTCACGATGGATGCAGGGGGGGACCTGCCCCTGGAGTTCTCAGCGGTGACTGTTATCTTGTAGTCCACCCTCGGCATGACCCTGGCGTAGCTGGTTTGGGTGGTAAAGTGTGCTTCTCCTGCTGGGGGGCTCCGCTGGTCCAGGGCTTCGAAGGTCACCGTGTACCGCAGGATTCTTCCTCTCGCCTCCGACTTGCTCAAAGCCTGCGAGGAAAGCACATTTGTTAATCTCTTCTTCTTCTGATGAGCGAAGTCTGCAGAAAGCCATTGGTACCAAACCAGGGTGCTGCCCAGGAGGGTTTCAGATCTTCGTGGAGGAAGGTGTGATTGGCCATTTGTCAATCAAATATTTCACCTGCGTTTCAATGAACCTTCTGCCACAAAGGAAATCTTTGTGTCACACCTACAAGCCCTCCCAAAGGAGCTTTTAGCAAGCCTGCACGGTCAGGTGGGACTGCAGTTTGTGCTCCCATGCTGGGATGCCTGTGGAGCAGCAGCCAGTGGCTGGGGGGGGGGGGGGTAGCCATGCTGTCAGCCCTCCTGCCTGGAGCCACGGTGACTTCAGGGCATCTTCTGAACCCAGATGCTCAAGCTGCCCCGTTTCAGTGAGGAAATTTCACTCAAAGGTAATCTCTTCCTTTTCTACCCTGATAGTAAAGAGATTATGTGCAGCGACGGTGTTACTTGCTGGACAACAGCTGATGTTCCTTGGTAACAAATGATCGATTTTTATTTTCTTCTCCTCTAAAAGCTGGAGGGAACAAGCAGTGCTATACAGATTGCTCACTCACTTGTTGAGGCTGCTTTCTTCTGTAACACTTTTTTTTAAAAAAAAATTAAATTAGCTTAAGATCTGGTGACCTGAAGTACAACTAATGCATGTCAAAGGTAAGTAGTTCCCACATCAGCACCAGGCTGAGACTATTACTCATATGTGAACAGGCACTTTTATTGCTAAAAATGTTGTGTTTTTTCAAAAGAAAGCGAGTATCCTGGCTGCAGAGTTTCTTTTTTTCCCCCATGATTTTGTATATTTGTGTAACAGCTGTACCACCTCACAGCCTATTCTGATTTTTCTCTTTGATTTTCCTGCCGTCCAGCCCTGCGACCTGTGCTCTCCATTGAAATGAGTTAATTCCCCGACGGTCGGGCCAAAAGCATGCATTTACCCACTAGTCTGAGTCTCTCTTAAGGTTACATATCTTTCTTTTTATTTCTTATTTATTTTTCCTGTTTAATTCCAGTTCAGTGAAGCTCTTTTGCTGTGAGCTGCTGATTTTCCAAGCAGGAATACAGTCAGGGACAGTGAAAAATAGAGCAGCCTCAGAATTCAAACCGTGCTTTTCACAAGGGGAGAGAAAATGTATTAACTGCACAGCTGGCTTTGTAAAACTGAGCAATTTTTGATTTGGGGCAAATCCAGATTTTTACTTAAAGCCATGATAAAGAATCATTTAAATTTAACCACACAGATTACCCATCTCTGAAAAGTCAGTCTGTGCTGTCCTGTGTAACACCTCTTGCTGTTTTTTCCACCCCAGGTGTTTGCAGTTGTACTAGCAGTTTCACAGTTTCCTGCATTTCCGATGCAGCGAGTTCATTTTGTTTGGCTGTTTTTTGTCTTAACAAAACAAAAAAAAAAAGGGGGGGAGAGGGGGAACACTTGCAAAAATAGGAAAATATTCACAGTCTCATGATCGTTTTGGTAGTGACTTGGGTCAAATGCAGTGCTGAAACCACCCTGAAAGCCTGCTGAAATTAGATGGGCAACACTTTCTCTGGCATTTGTGTGACGAGCACAATAGACAAGCATATATCAGTGGTACATTGTACTGAGTCTTGTGCTTTGTGGCTGCCGTGAAAATGATCAAAGCAGTGTTCTGCACCCCTTTTATGAATGATGCTGCAGGAAGTCTGCCTCAATACAGAAAGTATTGAGTCACCAGCTCGCTATCGCAAGTTAAAGGTCTTAAGTGTCTTGAAGCCACAATGGCTGGAGTTGCATCCTCACATGAGAATTTCTGCTTTCGCTGACAGGGTAGTGCTTGTTGGTGTGGGGAGAAGGTAGGGCATTACTGGGCAGGTTAACTAGAGATGGCAAATTGGAAGTCAAAGATACTTACACTTAAAAATAACCTTATTGGCTTTGAAATAAAACCACCACAGCAAAATGCCCTGCAATCAAAAAATTTCTCTTAGGCCTGGCTTTCAGTGCTGGCTTGGTAATACTAGAGAAACTCAGCCCCCAGCACTGGTAAGTGGGACTTCGTTTCACTGGGAATGTGGGTATAGCAGACCTGGCGTAAGCCCTTTACCCTGAGCTGGGTGGTGATGTACAGTCATGTGGAATTTTTAACCCGCAGCTGGGTTTTAATCTGAATTATTTTTGAAACATCCCCTGCAGGGTCTCAGCCACCAGCTCACAGGAGGCTCTGCTCAGCAGACCCAAACAACTGACTTTTTTTCGACTCTGAGATTGTCCGGTTTCGGATCTGCAGCTTTATTATTAGCAAATCCTTTTGCATGTGGTTTCCCCATCACCTGCTTCACACCTGTAAAGAAAACCAATTTATTCCTCCTGCTGCCCTATGACAAGAGCCTCAGCCAACCATCCATCCACACAGTAGTGACAGGACCCTTTCAGCTGCCCAAACTACAGCCAGGTCTTAAATTTTTTAGAGCTTGGTCACCTTAAAGGGTTATTACAATAAATTGTCTCTTCTGCCTCCCCCATTCTTCAGTACTCTGGTCTTCATATAAGCAAAACAGAGCAGAAACCCCTCTGAAGAAAGCTCATACCCAAAAGCAGGCACACAAGGTGTGTGCGTCTGGAGAATGTGGGCCATGGTGTCCTCCTGGCCTCCCAGAACTCCTGTCCTGACCATGTGTGGCAACTGTGGCAAACAACAACGAGGCGGAGAACGAGGAGAGGGAGATATTAATGAGAAAACAAATTAGGAAGTCCGTAAGGTTGTATATCTTTAGATATATCATCATGGACACAGGTCACCTTGTGGAAAGGGTGAGGGAGTCTTTGAAAGTGGTGCCTGAGCTGTGATACCTCCACTTCGGCTCACTGATTTGATGTGCTGGGATTGTGTTGTACTTCCAGCACGACAGAAAGTTTGGGGAACTGTAAAAGGGAAATCATAGGTAGAAAAGAGCTGATGAATCTCCTGGGGGAAGCAAGCCTTTTGGGTGGCAGAGCTGGTCTGTGTCCCTGTCACTGGTAGAAGCCCTGTGTTCTCCTTGGGTTCAGTGCTTTCCTGTGAGAGCGTAAACCAGACTTCCCCTTCTGACCTTGCTGATTATTACTGCTTCTGCTTAGGTTTCACTTAACGTACCTTCCAAAAAACAGAGATGTTCTGCTGTTGAGAGTCCACATCCTGCTGTCGGTACCAGACGTCCAGGAGCCCGGTCGGCACTGGTGTTGAAGGAAAAGGGTAAGGAGTGTTAACGGCTATGTTTTGAAGACAACAAACAAGACTTTGAGTAGACAAATAAGGTAAAACCCCTGAGATTATTAAAATTTAAGATTTAAAATGTCCCTGAAATGATGCGATACGTAATAGCTCACATTTGCTGGAGTTCAGCTGGGTTGATGATGGTGCTCATGAAGAGAACAAGCCATAAATGCGAGAAAGAGTTTTGCTCTGCTGATGACTTTACCCCGCACTCAGTAATCAGGATGGCTCCCAAGGAAGCCTGTGCATCAAAGTGGCAGTATTAGCTCTTGTCTTTGCATAAAATTTGAGGCTCGTTAAGGTCCTTGGTGTTGGCTATGTCAATCCTGAACCAATGGACAGCCTTAGGTGACAGAGTTTGCAGGACCTATAGGATTTCACTGTCTGCCTCTAAGCAATAAATGTTTTTAACATCTCCTGGGGAGGACCTTGTCAGAGGTAGCTTAAAACCCTTGTTCTTTCCACGATACTCCTTACAGACACAGAGTGACTGGAAACCCTTGATGTTTTGAATAAACCTTCCAAAATAACACTAAAGCAAACCTCTGGCTGCAGAAACTAGTGAACCACATGCTCCAACAGCTCAGAACCAGAGACATCTCAAGAAAGCCAATGTGACAAAAGGTAACAAAGCTTGGGTCCTCAAGGTCTCTGACCAAAATAAACCCATCAAATTCAAATAATAGTTGTTGCCAATAACCTAAGCAGCAGGTAGCTGTTGCACAACCCCAGCTAGAATGGGGCTGCCTGCTCTTTCCTATATTCAAAGACAGCAAAAATCCTCAGTGCCAGCAATGTTAAGAGCTATTTGTCCTGCGTTAGCGGTGAATAGTGACCAGAATAGGAATGAGAAGCAGGACTGACAGAAGAAATAAAACCGGAGCACACTTGCTGTGAGCAACGGAGGAAGGGGCCAGCTCAAAGCAGGAAAAAATAAAATATGGGATTGCATCTGTTGGGCTCCAGCCCAGATTTTAAACTTCATTTCAGACCTGAACCACATGAATCAGCTGGGAAAAAAAAGATAGGCTCGCTTATGAACAATGCTTGCATAAAGCAAGTTTTGTGGCAGGTCAGGCATAGAGAGACAGGAAAAAAATTATCTTGTTGAAAAGGTATGCTCCTGAATTTGCAAAAGGTCAAACTCAAGTGTAGAACCTCAGCTCCTTCAAAGAACAGCAACCGTGATGTACCCAGAGCTTCTCGTCTGCAGCCTCCCCTTGCTGTCACCTCGTTGGAGGACAGAAAAGGCTTCTCGATTAGCTAAAAAGATTCCCGTTTTATAGCACCGCCTGGGTAGAGGGGTGATGACCACAAATGCTGTAGCAAGCCAGAGAGTATTGAGAAGGTTGAGAAAACTGTTGAGAGGAAAGTGGGGGAGGGAAGGAAAAGTTCACACCTTTTGCATCAATCAATGCTTCTTACAGAAACTGATGCTGTCAGTAGTGGTAAATAGCATGAGTAATAGCAGCCTGAAGAGCTTATAGTAATTCAATTCACAAAAAAGAGCAATGAAAGCCAAGTGGGAGATGAAAGGAGGGGATGCCAAAGCAGCCAACACATCTTTGTTGAGACACAACCTTCTGAGAAGCTTTCTGCTCTCGTAAGAACTGAAACTTTTGCAGCATGCGAGTTTGTGCAGCTCAGGGTGAAGGCAGGCAGGTATCCGAGTGTGCGGCCAGCCCAAGGCAGCCAATATGAGAGTTGGCAGAAACTAGCAGAATTGCCCTCAGGTTGGTGCTGCGTGTCCCTGGAGTCTGCTGTGCCCTTCTCTGGGGCGGGAACACTCTTTGCTCGCCTAACTCCTGGTGGGATCTCTCCCCAACGCCTGGGCAGGTTCTGCTCTGCTGATGCTCCAGAGGTCTCCAGTGACTCCACAGTGTGGTGGATGGGTCACCTGGGGAGGCTCTGGGTGAAATAGCCTCTCTACTTGGGAAAAGATGGCTTGGCAAAATGAAACTGTTCTGTTCAAACCTCCCAGTGTCAGCAGAACTGAGAGAGTCCAGGCAGTTTCCCAGCCAATTCATTCAACTCCTCTGCAAATGGTTGAGCAAGCTCAAGACCCCAGAGCATGCTGCCCGAGTTGTGGTTCATTAGCACCAGAGGGTGACATAGCAGTCATCCTGACTTGAGTTACAGGGTTGTTGCAGGAATTCAGTAAAATGCTTAGCTATGAACAAATACAAAGTATTTTTCTTTCTCCAGCTAAGCTGCACAAACTCTGTCTTTTCCAGATGTGCCGCCATGCAGCAGGCCACTGTGGCCCCAGGGAAATTCCACCAGCCTTCAACAATGTCAAATGAATATATCCTTCAGACCTTCTCAGTGAACTCTTGAAATTCCTGTTTTGCGAGGAACTTTGTTTTCTGTTCATTAAAAAAGCAATTCTCTTACAGAAGTTACTTCCCTCTTGGCTCTGGGTCTGGATCTGCAGAGACTCTGCAAACCAGCCAGCAAAAACCCAGCAGCGTTTTGACTTCATCAGCTAAAGTTAGGCAAGTGTTAGACACAGGCTTAGCGCAGGAGATGCCGTCTTGTGTTACCTGCTTCTGGAGTTTGGGTTTGGTATGTGCGCCAGTTACTCCACAGTCCTCGCTCGGGGTGAATTTTACAGCTGACCTGAAACTCGTAGGCTGTATGAGGCTCCAGCCCATAAAGACTGCATTTCTCACTCCGTAAGCTTTCAACCTTTAATGAAGATAAAGGGCACATAACGTTAAACTCACAAGGAAATAAAGGTTGAAGGCCGTGACAGGCTGAATTACTAATGCCCAAAGGGAGCCCAGCCAGCCAAAACACGTCTTTTAATAAACAGTGGGGAAAACCCTGATCTGAGCCAACTTTAATAACTCAAAGAACGATGCAATGAATCACCAGCCTTGCAGTTCTTCATCTGAAAAATCTCTCATTTAATTATGTGAAGATAGCAAATTTTCTGTTCGCATGTTTTACTCAACCTCAAGCAGTACGTGTCTTTTACAGCTTAAAAATAAAAGCAAAGACTTCCAGTCGATGTTAGGGAAGGTACAAATGTTTGGAAATTGCACATCTGTAGCTGTGAGCTACAGTGAGCAGATATGGCCATATTCTGACAAAGTGGTGGGTCAAACATAACCTCTGGTTCTTCAGTGCATCATACAGACACTTGACATAAGGGGAGATATTAATGCACATGCTTTTTTACAGGATCAGCATTTTACCTTCATTCAGTTTTAGACCAATGGTTAGTTTTGACCAGTAGACAAGTTTTTCTTAAATATGATGTTAGAGAGCAGACAGATGCAAATTTGGACAAATGGAATCTAGTAAGAAAAAAATAATTAAAGCGACCTCCAAGGATCATAATTTCCTTTTACTCTGCAGAAGAGGATTACCATGCTCCAGGCGTGCCTGCTAAGTGGGCGGTATCTCAGCCTGCAGTGCTGCGCTTGTGCTCCATCGTGCCAAAAAAAGGTGCAGTTGGTCGCAGAAGAATTTTCAAATTCCACTGAAAAGTTGGGAGGATGTGGTTTCACTAGCGGCAAAAACAGAGAGCAGCAAACAGCGCTTAGATACAGCACAGCTCAAAATGGCGGGGGTTACGTGGAAAATAGAATTACCGGTTTAGACTGGATGGATGCTTTCTCTGGGAGGTTTAAACAAGAAAGTGCTCAAAACGTTTTGATGTCTTCCCAAGGGGCTGGGACTAACTGAAAGGCACCAAGTAACGCATTTACCTATGTCTACTAACGTGAACACGAGCGGCTGTGAAAAAGCACTTCCTAGCTCATTGGAGGCAGCAACCACAACGGTGTAAGTCGAGTAAAAATTCAACTTGCTCAGAGCCAGCGAGCCAAACTTCTTGTTTGGGCTTTCTTCTGAAACACATAAGACATCCGTCCCATTCGATAGCCTGGAACAGAAGGAAAACACTTGGCTGATACTCCCCTGTACACTAAGAAAGCTAAACCCTGGGTGCGTCGGGGCACGGCTCATGTTCCCGTATGGCCGTGGTGCTCTGGGTCCCGTGGGGCTGCAGCACTCTCAGCAGCTTCCCTGCAGGTTGGCTTTCAAGGGAGGACCACTGCACTGAAAGCTAGGGAGGTCATCTGCCCCTTGAAAGATCTGGCTGCTTAAATACAGTGCTTACAGTAAATACTCCTCTAGCTAAATGGGTAGTAAAGGCGTTATGCTGCTTTTTTGGCTTTAATTGCAGGCAAAAGAAATATTTCTGGATTTCCACTGAGCTGCAAGCACGTGAGTAAGTTCCCTTTAATAGTATAATGGTTACCTCGTATTGGTTACCTAATGTTTCTCTGTGGATGAGCACAGCTGTTGGTACACAGAATTTGGGGGGATGATGAATTTTGGGGTTTTTTTGGTTATTTTTTGCGTAAATTAGTGATTAAAAATGTAATGTACGTGCAATCTAACCGTCAGACCGCATGATTTCAAACTTCAGTTCTCAATCTGTCATTCAACTCATTGCCTTGGGTAACCCATTTAACCTCTCTGTGTGGTTTTTTCCGCTTGAGCCAGAGATGTTTATATCATGCTGCTTCAGGCTGACTTTTTGTATTTTGTAATATATTTAATAACTTACCAGCAAGCGCTGCTATAAATTTATGTTACAACACTTGCAGGATGCGTTATCCACGCTTCCCTACTCTTCTGCACGTTACCTGCGTATTCTCCTTCTGCTTAAAGAGCAGCGACAGGTTTCAACAAGCTGCTAAGAAAGTTGCTGCTACCTTGGCCAACAGAAGCAGGCGAAGAAGGAGGTGAAGAGTAGCAAGACTCGCAGGGCAAGGAGATGGTCAGCGTGCAGCACCTCAGAAATAAACAGGGACTAGTCCAGCCTCCCCAGAGGTTTGTAAAGGACAATTAATTCATTCAACCCAGGCTTTTAATAAGATTCCTCCTATGCATGGTGATTCCTCCTGCCCATGGGAGAGCAGCGGGCTTGAGCAACTGTTTTCAGACCGCTACTGACCTTCCCTTTCCAAGAGGGAGCCGTGTCTTGGCATACCCTCTGCATTTTTTTTAGAAGGAGCCAACCTGCTGCGGTGCACCACACACAGTTGGGAACAGCAGAGGGAGTTGAACTGCTCGTGTTGGCTTCTGTGGTCATGGCAGCCTTGGACTGACTTATTCATAAACCAGCTCTTTTGTGTGCTTTGATAAGGGTAAATCTTCAAGAAACAGTGAAAAAAAAGAAACTACCTCAAAACCCCAACAGCTCTAAGATACGATTATAGCTATTAAAGAACCTACGTCCCTGCGCTACTTACTGTATTACATATGTAGTGTTGATGTACGTGAGCCTTCCTTTATCCCAGGTGCAGGTGGGATGGCCGTCTGTCCCATACTGGATGCACGACACATTTCTTGGCTCATCTGGAGGATCTGAAACAGATATTCTTATCAGAATCTTCCTTACAGATGTTGATAAGAGGCATTTTAAGAAATGCTAAGTTTGGCTTTTTGATCATTTCAGGGTTTTTTAGAGAATTTATAGACAAAATATTCAGGATGATAATTTTTATATGTGAAGACAGCTGAGTCTGTGATCTCTGCAGCCTGCTGAGACCTCTGACACTTGAGCAAAACCCCGGTGGCTTCACAAGGGTGCCAGATGAATACAAGTGCTTAACAGCCCTCCAGACTGGGCACAAGCTTTGCTTGAAGCAATGAACCTTTATTCTTATATTTTTAGGAAAAAAAAAGAAAAAAAGCAGCACTGATAGAGCAGATGACGGCTGCAGCAGCACCAGCTCCTCAGGCTAGAAGAAAACCTAAAATTTCCTTAGAATTTTTCTTGCAAGACAAGAGAGACTGGTGCGTGTCAGGGGTAGAACAGGAGAGTATGATATTTGCTCTGAGCAGGCAGTTTTATTTAGCATCTCTCCATTGATCAATAATAGAGTTGCACAGTCCCAGCCAGGAATATTTTAAATACAAAGAGCCACTAAAAACCAGCACCTTTTCTGGAAAAGGCCACCCACTGCTTGTTTCTAACACAAATCCCAGAGGCACCACAGGAAGTGTTTAAGAGCAAGGAATAATTGAATTCTCCTTACTTCCAGATTCTATATCAATTCCACAAATGAGTTTTTTCTTGTATTCGCAAACTGTTTTGCACGTAAACATGTGTTTGCCATATGTATGGACGAGAAACTCGGTGCGCACTGAACTGCTGTAATTGCAAACAAGTTCAGAGCTGTTCAAGAAAATAGCTATCTTGCACCGCTCAGCGTATCGCAGGGGTGTCAGCTGGCACGAGAGGGTGACGTTGGTTCCCGGCTGGACACGAGCAGCAGTGTTAGCAGTCATATTCCCTTTGTCACATATTTCGGCAGCGCCATGGGGAAGTTTGCTAGCGGGAACGTTGCCTTTGCTGCATGCTTCTGCAACAGAACAGGAGAGCAAACCTTTGACACAGATACATCACTCGTGCAACGCGCTGTGCTCAAGGGAAGAGACTCTCCCCAAATCTATAACGCAAGAATCCCTGCCTCTGCGCGGTGACTTGCGGGATATCGCTGTGCCCGGTCTTCACCGGTCTGACTGACTGGGGGCAGAAACCAAGGAGCAGCTACCAGTCGTCATACAAAAAAAAAGCACAACCCCAGGCAAAAACCTATCAGAACTCTTTTTTGTGTTGTGGTTTCAGGGAGTCTCTGTGTTTCGGTAAAGTGGTGGCAGGCGTGTCTCTACCAAACTGGCAAGGGAGATTTTCTCTGACTGGCAGAGATCTCTCCTTGTGCATTCTTGTCTTTTCAAAGTGGCCCAGGAGGCAGCTGGGGGACAGGCAACCCTGCATATGAGAGCAGGTACTTGCTGGGGGCAAACAAGCTGAGCAGCAGCAGGAAGTAAGGGAAAACGCTGGAGCACCATTTCTCCTTCCTTGTGAGCTCTGGCAGTCTCTGTGGAAGCTAGCCATAGAGGTGTTTTCTCACGTAACCAACAGCTCTACCTTGAACGAAACCAAACCACCTCCCTGCATAACTTATTAGCAGCTATTTGCTGTACACCACCTTCGATACAGAAGGAAACAGGCTTGCAGCACCAATTATGCATAAATATGTGCCCAAGCTACCAATGCCTGAGCATGTATGATCCTGTGTTTGCCTCTTGTGCTAAGAGCCGAGGCTGTACCCTGGCAGGACACTCAGCAGTAGCAGTGGATCAGGGAGTGCTTGCAAAAATTGCAGTATAAACCTAATCAAGCATTGAATCTTTTTCTTTCCAGCAAGAAAAATGTTTACTAGCATACCATGCAGGAACTGAAAAAAGCCCTAATTAGCCTGAGTGCTTCATTTAAGTGATAACTGCTATGTAGAAAAAAAAAAAAAATCTTACCTGCAGTGAAATGCACCAACAACCAAATTGCTGCGGGCACAATCCATGCAAATAGCATTTTGCTCCCTATAGAGAAATGAATACCTTTTACCAATTTATGTACCCACCCGAGGAGCCTTGTGTGCTCTTCAGCCTGTCTGGGCTCAGGCTTTGTGCAGGTGACCCCAAATCCAAATGAACTGATCTCATCCCAGATGGCTAACACAGTCTCAAGAGTCCCAGACCTGAGTATTGCACATAAGATTTTGGGTAAGACCTTGGGAACTAGCAATCTTGCAATTCCTTTCGACTGCTTTCCAAAAGGAAAGCCCTCATGCAGGGCTTATCCACGACTGTTTAACTCTACCCAGAGCTGCAGACGGCCACGGAGAGCAGCCTGTTAGTGACACAACCCAACACAACAGCTTTTGAAATGTTTTAAACTCCACAGGAGTGCTCCAAAACTCGGTCCAAATGCGAACCTATGCCATGTCTAGGCTGACTAGATTAAACCCACGCTCTGTTCCTGAAGTTACAAATACAAATGCTTGGCACAAATTATTCAAGGTCAGCCTGAACTAAGCACCGTATTTTCCCATACATTTTGCAACCAAACGATTTCCTTTTTTTTACCCTTCCTCTGAATAACTACAGGAGCAGTGAGAATATATTGGATGCTTCAGAAGTGAATACACCAACAAGCACTTTCTGTAAGTCCCAACGTGTCGCGGACGTGCAGCTATTTTAGTAACTTGATGCCATATTGGAAACAAACGACTGTAAAGCGAAACTTTAAATCCTGACAGCTTTTCATGCCATTGTGGATGGAAGGGCATTTCCATGGGGATGCATCACACAGTACAGTCTTTGCTACATGTCTATTAATATAAAAACAAAGAAAGAAGCTATTTCAGGTTGGTTTTTTATACAGCGGGATGGGATCCATTCCATGTTTTTGAAGAAAAACGGTGTCTGAGGTGAATGCGAAATACAGGAGATTTGCCAAAATGCATCTTAGCACCTTGCTTTATTTAAATCCAGATGTTCTTCAGCCTGAGATGTTAAGCCTCACCGCAGCACCTCAGCTTTACACAAAGACACTTCATGCAGTGCCTTCCGTAGGTGATTAGTAACTGCAAGGATGAGCAATCACTGCACCAAGGTTCTTCAAGTAAATGCTCTGCCTTCCAATAAACTGAAATTGCCCGGTGACTATGTAAACATCCTTCAGGCAACTTGCTTTCTGACAGCAAAACTGTACCCAGAGCACTTGAGTCAACAGATAAAAATAGTCTCCCTTCAAATAATTTTAATCAGTCGTTTACTTAGGTAAGTGCTAGACGATTTATGCAGCATCACATGAGTGCAGCAGAGCGTATAAACTGGGATCAGAGTCAAATCTGAGAAAAGAGTGAGAAATAATCTCCATCTTAGAGTGAAGGTATACGGAAAAAAAATTTAAGAAGAAAAACCCTCTAGATTCCACATCAGTGAGGGAAAACGGTATCACTGTGCAGAGCTTGAAGGAAATATAAAGGACATTGTCCTGGTAAGTGCTAGAGGAAGTACATGAGGTGTTCACAGAGTACAAAACCATGCCTGTTTATGTGTGCTTGTCTCTATGAAATCTTAGTTGAAAACACAAGGGCTACAGACCGTACATGTTGTTTAGCTATGGATTCACTGTAATGGCATCGGCCAGTTACAGCAGTCCGCTCAAGTTCTTAAATGAAATTGCTTCTAAAGCGCAACAGCTCTGTAGTTTGCTTTTAACCGACTTTTTACGCCCTTGCCCCTACTTCTCCCTGAAAACCCTCCATGCAAAGCAAGTGTCTCTTCTAAGGGTCTCACACAGAACATGTGGGAACCACTGACCGACTGACTGCTGGTGGTAAGAAGTCACACTGCTACTTTTCACCCAGAAAACCCCCACAATTTGTGTCCAAGCCACGCTGTCGCTTACATGTTGCTGATAACACTGGCTGCATTTTTTGGGAAAATTCCCAACATCAGCGGGCTTGCAGGGGCCACTCTGGCTGCCGCAGGCCCAGTGAGGATGGTACCACCCCATGCCCTGGGGCTGGGGTACAACAGCCCTGGTGCCATCCCACCCCAGGTCAGCGTCTCTTCACTGCAGCTACTGAGCACGAGATATTTCATAAGACCTCACCGTATGGAGGGAAGGGATGATGTTATTTCTAGAGGGTGGACCTTCAGCACTGCGCTCCCTTAGGTGGTTCTGTTCCAGGGCACAGGCATCATCCCAAGGTGGGGAGCATCCCAGGGCAGGCAGTATCCCTGGGCAGGGACCGTCCCCGGGCAGGTAGTATCCCTGGGCAGGGACCGTCCCCAGGCAGGCAGCATCCCAAGGCAGGGACCATCCCGAGGCAGGCAGCATGCCAAGGCAGGGACCATCCCAAGGCAGGGACCACCCCGAGGCAGGCAGCACCCGGAGTTTCTAACTCGCTGCCCGCGCCACCAGCGCCCCG